GTTTCCTCACGTATTGGCTATCTTAGCATTCTGATGATTAATAAAATGCTTACAGCTAGATTAATAAATCCCAGCAGTAGGACGGGCTTAGCAGGGGCACTCTTAATAAAAGCAAATTGAGGTGAGGTCCTGTCAGTAAAACAGATGACTGACTGCTCCCGGCTCTCGGGGGAGCGCGTGCGCTCAGCCAGCCTACGGGTGCTGTGGTTAAATGGGTATCCGTGTAAGTCCAAAGAAATGGGAGCACGTTTGCTGGTTTTAACTCGCCTTTTTTGTTAGGTGAGGAAGTATTTCTGTCCCGAGGCCTGGGCTGATCTGGCTGCTTTTGCCTTCGCTGGGTAGCGCTGTCCTCCTTCGTGACACGGTTGGGTGTCCCGATAAAAGGAGTGTCTGATGTTGGGATCCGGTGGGATCCCAGCCGGGAGCAACAGCGAAGCCTCGGACCCGCTGCTCGTTGCAGCCCATTGGAGATGAAGTCCCCGTCGCGCCCTTGGTAGCCCGGCAGCGCCAGCTAGCCACGCTGGAGGCTGGCACCCGGCTTTCTCCCGCCCGCAGTGCCAGAGCTGCCCGAGCGAGGGGCAGGACTCAGGCAGCGCTCCTTGTCTGTCCGTGCAGGGAGCACCATGATGATCGTGATGGAGTACGTGGGGAACGGCGTGCTGGATGCTTTTCTCAGGGTGAGTGCTGCGGGTCTGCCACCCCCTCGGGCTCTGCTGGTGGTGCCCCCCTGAACTGGGCATCACTCTGGCTTTTCCTCTTTTTTTTTTTTTTTTTTTTTTGTTTCCAGAAGCACGAGGGACAGCTCACGGCCACCCAGCTCGTTTGCATGTTGCAGGGGATTGCCTCCGGCATGAAGTACCTGGCAGAGATGGGTTACATACATAAAAGCCTCGCTGCCCACAAAGTCCTTGTGAACAGCAGCCTGGCGTGCAAAATAACTGGCTTCAGGCGGCCGCAAGAGGATAAGATGGAGACCATCTTCTCCACCATGGTGAGCTGCGTTTCCAAATTCTGTTGTTAACGTTCCCCCGAGAGCAAAATGCTGACGGAACGGGTACAAACCCTCCGCAGAGGTGGATTCCCCCCGCTGCGATGCGTGGCCGTGGCCAGGGGCGCTGGGGCTGGTGTGGCTGGAGCGGCTCTGCAGCCAGCTCTGAGTGCTGAGCAGGGATCGCATCCAAAGCCGGGCAGCCTCCCTCCGCAGGTGGAGCTGGTAGGACATAGAGCAATCCTATGCCGAAACCGGTGTTTTTCCTAGGCCCCCGTTTCCTTCCTCGCGTATGAGTGTGGGCTCTGCTCCTTAGCAGCTTCTTTCCCAGCTGGAAAACAAACTGGGGGGGCAGCGCTGGCAGCCCCCGGGTTCCCTGTGTCTGTTTTATCACTTGTAATGAAATTCATGGTTTTCAATCAAGGATTTAAGTCCTGCTTGATTCACGCTTGTGCCTCGTCAGCTCTGCTAGCCCGTCTGTCTCCCCAGTGCCTCCGTGCGCTTGGAGAAGCTGCCTGGAAGCCCTTGGGCGCGGAGCCGGGGGGCTGCCCCCGCCTGCTGGGCTGCCTGGGCCACCTCCAGGCCCCG